AAAGTGAACTAGTAGAAATAAAAAGTACTACAAAATGTTCAAATACAACTCACATATGCAATAACACAAGCAGATAAAAATATATCGTTAATATAAGGAAATACATATTGTTTGAATAGATGTTCGAATAGGTGTTCAAGGCATAAGCACATAAGTAAAACATATAGGGTGGAAGTCACATAATCAAAGAAATACAAATTTTTCAAATACATGTTCAACTTATTTAAAACCAAACTTAAGTGTAACTAAAAAATAAAGAGTTCAATTAGACTAATTGAATAAGAAACAATGGAGGTAATGAATCCTTCGCTTTGGCATCGTCGTCATAAAAACCTCTCCCTTTCTTGGACTTCAAAAATTTTTGTTGAGAATAAAAAGAATGACATATTCTTGATTATTTTGGGAACAAAGTCCAATAATTTAATGACTTCTATCATATTAGGGTATGTGAGCACCATATGTCATACTATGAAAAGTTGTAACAAACTATGAAATTTGTTCAATTAAAAATTGGGTGTCGACACCGAGATATATCGAATCAAGTTTCTCCACCAACTTAGAGTCTATGCCACAATTTTATTTTATTTTATTATTAGTTTTTTTGTTTTTTTAGTTTTTTTTTTAGTTTTTTTTGCATTTGACACTACCTATATTTAAGAAAGTCAAGGTTCAAATTATATGAAAATTTGGAGAATTTATATAATGTCTTCTTCTAACCAAAACTTTTTCTCTCTCCACTCCTCAAATGCATTTACTCTTTACTTAATAGGATTTCAACCAAATCCAATTGCTCCTTGATTTACCTCTTTCCACAGTTTTCAATATTTTTCAGTTAATCACATTTTTTCTTAAACAGACTTTTATCATACACTCTTCCCAATTTTTTAATAGAAACTTTAGGTTATGTTTTGCCAACTATCTTTATTGAAATGTGATGTTGATATGTTGCTTAATTTAATCTCTTTTAAGCATAAATGAAAGGCAAAAATCTTCATCTCTTTCTCATTCTCTCAAGTAGCTGATATCCAACATTTTGTTTTCCTATTTCTTGTATTAGAACAATAAAAAGTTGGAAAAAATTAATAAATTAAGCTTTTAAGTAAGAATTAATAAAAAGAAAAAAGTGTATAGAAACATAAAATGAACAAGCAGCTAAAGTAGAGCTCAATGAGGTCATTTTGTCAAAGAAGATCACCAACTGCATTCGATCATTATATAGGTGTAGAAACTTGGGCTATAAAATCAAGTAGTATTATGTTTGAGTGTATCATGTGGGCTATAAAACCAAGTAGTATATGTGATTGAATATGTCGTCCAATGATAACAAAATAGTGAAAATGATTATATGAATCACACCTATTGATCGGTTGAGCCCTTTGTATTTTTTTACATCATCGGTATGCATAACATAATCAAAGCAACATAGCCAAAACCTGCACTACATATAGCATATACTATGTTATTGCCATATCAAAAACCTTCAACACACAACATAGATGAAAATAAATCCCTCCACACATTAAGAAATGCATCTTATTTTTCACGTGCAACTAGAAAAGTAATAAATTTCAACAAAAGTTAACCATTGTATATGCTAGAATGTATAAGTGAAATAGCCATGAGGAAAATAAATACTTATGTGCATGCATAAGAATTAAGTCATACGTATTACCTTCCAAATATATGTTAAAATACCACCCATCCAAATTAAAATCCATCAACACAAATCAAAACTAGAGTAATCCCACAGTCTCCATAGCATACTCACAATAGTTTGTAACAATACCACTTGGTCCTTAAAGTATTTACAAACATAGCACAAAACTCTTATCTATTTACATATATTTAATATCACAACACACACCTCTCATGTACATACATACATACATAACACAAAATTCTTAGGTTCACACCTAAACTTTCATCTTTATGCACATACCACTAAAAACATTAATAGCAATTACAAAAATGAAATTGTCAAAACTGACATGCACATTGTCATGCCTATGGTCTCATGCATGTAATAAGTTATACATGTTTAAGATGTAAAACACATACAAAAATGAGTCGTATGTAAGTAAATATTCCAAATTTATGTTAAACCTCCACTCACCCATCTAAAGCCTATAGCTATAACCACAATCACGACAATCCAACCAAATCAAGGTGCATACAATTCTTTTATATTGACAAAGTTCACACCTAAACTCTCTTTGTTATGCTCATAAATTCAGATCATGAAATGTTGGCCTAACCAACAACTTTAATCTAGCCAGAGCAATCCCACCAAAACAATAACAAGCCCACAAAATTGTTGATGTGAGACATTTCTTGAATAAGAACTAGAAATTAAAAAAGCTATAAAACCACTCGGTTCAATTGCATTTACATACATAATACATAAATCTTATGTCTTCAAATATTTTTAATATCACAACACACACCTACATACATACCACACAACTCTTAGGAATTTACAAATCTCACAACTAAACTTTCATCTTTACACACAAATATCACACCTAAACACCACAAAATTTTGAAGCAAGTATAAAAATAACAATGTCAAAAGTGAAATGCACCTCTAACCAAAAAAGAGCACTCCTATTTAATCCACATTAAGCCAAAAAATTTTGAGACAAATAATGGATCCAAAAATTTCAAGGACGTAGCATGAAATGTATTCAATACGACCATGAAACTAAATAGTTTCAGAGTACATAAGTGATTGCATTTTCAAAAACCTTATGAATATGATGAAAATCCACATATCACATCAACCCGAAACGCATCATATTCCAAAAATGTGCGTATCGAGAATCACATAGATACATATAGAGGAATCGAAGGGAACAACATAAATGAGAAGTAGCTTCAAGCATCGATATGAAAGGAAACCATAAACAAGGTGAAGAAATCGAGTAGTGAGGGGGGCAAACCAAAGTTTGTTTGAGCATCATCATCTAATGCGAAAATTTTGTTTGAACATAATTCTTAAATAAAATAAATTATTATATATACATATATATTTGGGAAAATAATAAATATACTTTTCAGAAAGTATTTTACTTAAATAATATTTTAAGAAAGTGACAATGCCACCCCCAAACTTTTTCTTCCACATTTCAAAATTTCACTTAAATATCAAATTTCATGGTAAAACCCCTACCCTTATTTTTCATTTTTATCAATACATTGATTCCATAGTTAAAAAAAAAAAAAATTGGCTGGGTCTTTAATTTATAATTATACCAGCCCCCAACCATCCTCGTGTGCCTAATTATTCAAGGACCACCCTCACTACCGCAAATTGGCCGTAGGAGGATTCAAACCTGAGAACTGAGGGGACTTACAACTTTCAAAGACGTTGCTCTGCTCCCAACAAGTCATAGCTGGCAGGGGGCGCACGCGCACACGCACATACAAATATATATATATTGTTGGGTGATTTTATTAAAAAAAATGGACTTTCATCCTTGATTGTCGTCCCTCCCTAAATGCACTAGACCGCCCATAATGAAGAGGTAAATTCGGCCATTTTGTTAGGTGAGCTTAGTTCAACCATTTAGGCAAGTGGGTCCAGTTCAACTATCTCGTTAAGTGGGCACTATTCAACTATTTCTATAAGTGAGCTCAATTCATCCATTTCAGGAGGTGGGCCCAATTCAAACACCTCTGCATGTGGCTTAATTATCATGTTTATTGGATATATAATCATATTTGTCTACACAAGTCACTTAAATATATATATATATATATATATATTTAATTTGTATTAAGAAGATTTACTCAAATGTTATGTATTTACATATGAAACACCTAAAGTTTAATTTATTCATATCTGTCATCTTATATATACATGAAAATATATATTTTACTTTCAAAAAATTAAAATAATTATGTTTTGTGATATTGAACATTCAGCTGATATAACTATAAAAATAAAATTTAAGTGTTAGATATGTAAATACGTAAGAATTGGGTGGTATATATTTAACTCATATCATATCTAATTTTTTAAGAAAATAGAAACAACACATTTGTCCTCTGTGTAGTCCGTATTCCTGCATGATTGTTGAGAGCTTAGTATATTTGATCGTCTACAACAAAATTTTCTCATGTAACACGAATGTCGAACTGTGATAGGATCTCGCAAAAATTGTTTAAATAAAATTATTCAAATTTTGACTAAAAGTCATTCAGAGACCTGGTTTCAAGTCGTCCAATAGACCGGCTTGACAAGACGGACCCAACGGTATCGAAGTCAATCTAATCCGAGTCAAATCAAGCATAGATATACTTTTTAAAGTTTTCTATATACATTTGAAAAGTAAAACATATGTCGAATTTGGTGAGCTGATATTCAAATTGAGCATCATCTAACGATCATAAAATCGCTCATTTCTGATAACGTTAAGATACTCAAATGTCTATCAAACGTGGTCTGATCGAGAGAATCTCTTCAGACCGTTCGATCAGAGTGACAATTATCCCCCTCAAATTCAGATTTTTAGTTATATCAAAGGGTATTTTGTTTTTCCCCCCTCTTGAAATATCAATTTTGTCTCTCTTGAAATATCAGATTGCTTTAGCTCCTCTCATGTAAGGTCTAGGGAGACTGTTGACCACTAAAAAAAGAAGCTAGTTCCGCCCTCCGAATACCTGCTGAGTTCTTGTGTAAATATAAAAAATTAATTAACCAATCTACCCCTAGACCTTACTAGCTTCTTGGGGTCTACATAAACTCAATGATATTTACACAAGAACTCAGACCATGTTTGATAGCCATTCTTATCAAACATAAATAGATATGATAAATTACTTTCTGATATTTCAACTAAAAATCAATTCTGTCGTTAATACATCAATACTAAAAATAATAATAATTTCACTCACTCGAAATACGAAATTTAAATTCAGACTTTTAAACAGTTTAGAGTTCTATGGAATTTAAAATCAATTCTGTCGTCTAAATTTATCCAACCCATGGAATTAACAAAACTCATTCTTTCGATTTATAGTTTGAATTTTCAATCTGTTAGAGAATTCTGCGGCCAGAATCTCATACCAGAGTACACAAAACCGAAAAAGGGGAGCAGATTTCGTTTATAAATCAAGCAACCAACGCCAGTCGGATCAACGGGAAGAGGAGCGAGCGGCAGTGATCTCTTTCTCCTTCCCTTGAATTCCTCGCCAAATTATTTAAAAAGATTTGCAGATTCAATCGATAGCCATAAAGAATCTATCTGCAATAGCTCTTGGGTTCGTTTCCATTCTCCTTGCACAACCATCGAATTCCGGCGACATCTTCTTCCCCGCAAAGATGCCACCTTTTCTCACAACTGATTAGCTTTGCACTCCCCTGTATCTCAAAACAGACGAGCCTTCTTCGCTCATAAATCAAAAATGGTACTTCAAGAAGAAAGAAACCACAACAATGGCTGCCGCAGGGAAAGATCTGGTTTCATGCCGAAGAAGCACAAGGCGAATAAAGTTCCGCAGCGTGGGCTCGGCATTGCTGCTCTTGAGAAGCTTCGAAGAGAAGACCAACAGAGCAGGATTGCCGGCTGGTTCTCCGCCGGCGACAATACCACCACCGCTACAGCTTCCACTGGAGGCAGCGTGCATCTCTCCTCTGGCGTCATATCACCCGCCCCCTTTCTCCCCGCACTCGAGCAAAGCACAAAACCCTGTTTTTTCGGTTCTTCGCCATTATTTGGGAATTCAGTACAGAGCGAAAGTTCCTCCATTTCAAGCTCGCGGTTGCCTCTACTTCCCAGGAAGCTGCAAGAGGGGCAACAAAGATACTCACTGGTTCTTAAAAACTTGAAAACAGATATATATAT